TCCAAAGAAATTGAAGAGATGTGCGCAATAGGGTTGTATCGCACTGATCATTATAGTATTCATGGTGTGGTGTCGGCACCATCTCGGTCACGCTCAAATTCTTAATCACTGCTAAGGTCGCCATCCTATCCTCTACGAGTCTTACATAATACCTATAATACATACTATAAATAATCTGGTCTTTGTTTCTCCTTTCTGTCTATTAGAAACAATTTTTAGTTATGCATGGGGCGTAATTACTCATGTTGTTTCGTTCTATATGAATTACGCCGTCATAATTGTTGAATTGGATCTGCAGATCTGTTGTAGTAAAATTGTCAATTGTCATCAATTTGACATTGGCAATTCGACAATTATTGACATTATTGTAATTAATTTGCCAACGTAATAATTCAGCATTGCCTGATCATATTACGCCTCCATGTATGGTTCTCAGTTTCTATGATAGCCTTAAAGGCAAAGTACGATATTTTTTGATGCAGAAAATCATGTACAAGGCAATATCCCATTAAAGGATAATCTACTTCCTCTTCAGCAGATAAAAAATCAAAACCACGATCGTGTTACTCAACATAACTTGTGCATCATATGTACTTTGATTCTTAACACCATAAGAATAATCATTAGAGCTTAAAGGTCTGAAGTCCGAAATTTGTTTGAATTCATCAGCTTTAACAAACTCTAATCGTGATTCTATTTTCTTTTTAACTTCCTAAAGATTCCGTATTCATATTCATCACTCAACTTGCGAAAGTCATCATAATCTAATTTCTTCGTTAATTTAAATAAAAATCTTCCAACAAAATCTCTACATTTTCTATTAACTTCTTTCTCTCGTTCAGCTTTAACGAATTTCAATTCAATTCATTGTGTCACAATTTCAATTCATCGTATTTTACCTTCAATTCATTGTTTTCCCGCTTCAAATTCTTCTATAAGATTAAGTATATCAAATATTTTTTCAAATAATTGATTTTCCTGTTCTGGTATCTGATTTCCTATAACGTTTTGTAGTTCGTTTAGATCAGTTCTAACTTGATCAACTTGATCGATCAATGATTCATCAACTGCTATTTAAAAATATAAAAAGCAAAACATGGTTATTGGTTATATAATACATTATATGGTTTAGATGTTAAAATTTAATGTTGCTTTATTACCTTCCTCTTTGTTTTTTACACGTTTCTTTTCTCTTTTATCTTCTTTTTTTTTCTCCTTCGTCTTCAAGTCGTGTGTATCCAAGAGCGGTACCCACAAAAAAATCGCTTTTCTCTCCTTATAGTCTGATACATATAGTATAGTCGAAAGCTGTGCAGGCATTATCTCTTCTACTGGACATTTTATAGATTTGAAAAATCTTACTTGTTAAAAAAAAAGTACAACAATTTTGATTTCTTTAATGAAAAAAATAAAAGAAATGTAAAATGTAAGAAATAAAAGTTTCAATGATTGATGATGTACAGTATAAATTTAATGATTGTACTGTGTAACACAAAAACACTGATCTTTTTTTTTATTAAGTTAAATTGACTCAATTGTCTTACGTGTTGGGAATTTTACTTTACATAGAAAAGAATACCAAGGTATAAACTATCGCAAATCTGTTTATTGTAATAGGCACTAAACTAAAGCCTATCAATAACTGATCAACTATACAGTCAGCTGACCAAATCAACTAGTCAAACACTATATAAAAACAATTACTCTAATATGCAAGGAGAATAATACAATTTTTAAATTCACAATTATTTTGGATTAAAAATAACTATCTATTTTTAATAATTCGTTTATTTATATCCTTAAAATTTTACATTTATTAATTTTTTCGATTTTTTTTTTCACAACTTTTTTTTCGATATTAAGCAACTGATCAAGTCTATTTTATTATTAGTCACAAATATATAAAATTTTAATTAAAAACTTGCTCTTTCCATTCCTGTCCTACTTTCGATTGCTAAAAACTTACGATATGTTCAAATAACACGGGAAACTTTTAACCAACGGAAATATGAATGAAAAATGGAATTAGTGTAATAAAATTTATTAAGGATAACATTAATTTTTCTCTAATAGTCAAAATTCCTGAAAATTAGGGAATTTATTCTGAGATAGCTACTGCTGGCGCACTTGGAGCTGCCGGAGTATGATTACTATGATATACCTGAAAGATGGTTCGAAAAATCACTTGAAAAAAAGACCGATCCTAAAATCACAGAACTGGTCAACGTGTGAATAATCGAATTGCAATCGAATTGCACAATGCGCGTAACGCACATAATCATATTTATTTATTTATTCAACTCTTATATTTATATAAAGGTACTTTGATATATCAAAAAAAAATTTTTTTTGAAACTTTATACGAAAAATTTTCATTGTTGTATCATCACAATGTAATTTTTTTCTTAAAGCCTTATTTCCTTATATATTTTTAAGTTTGAGTAGATCAAAGATACTGTGTTTGAACCATTGGCTTCTATTAAATGCAATTAAGTTTGAGGCCAATCATATATCAAGTACAGACACGTTTTAATGGATTGTTTTCTATAAAATGTTGAACAAAAATTTCCTTGTGCAACGAAATTTTCCTTCTTTCTCCTTCCCTTTCGAAATGAGTGACCGATCGTTGCCCCAACGTTTCAGATTACCTTTACCGAAACCTATTAACGGTTCCTCAAATATAATGAATCTCCAATAAATAACTGTATTCCTAACCCTCAACTTTCTCAAACATCATCATTAGATGTCATTCCTTATCGTAAGTTATTTTGTTTATAATTTATCCGTAAAAGTAAAAAAGCTTCGATATTAAACATAAATACTTTTTTTTTTTTTGTAACCCAATTCCCTTAACGTAATCTTTTTATTTTATTTTGTATACTTACACAGAACAACAAACTTTAAATTTGCATCCTGCCGGAAAACCAATGCCGAATCGACGCGGTAGGAAACCATTGGCAACCATGCCTTTGGGTGTGAGTATTGTGATTTTTTTACGCGACAAGATTACAATATGAATTTATAAGAATTTGAATATAATGCTGGTCAAATTCGATGGGTACCCGTTTTCGGGGTGCTTAATAACAGTCAAGTACGTTATACATACTTCCTAAATGATTCTCATTTTTTGAGTATCTATTCCTTATTTACTTACCTTTTTTGTCCATCCAATTAGAAAAAGCGCGTTCAGAACCTAACCAACAAAGAGCATTTCGTCAACGTAAAGAAAACTATATAAGAAATTTGGAGTTAAGAGCTTTAGATATAATTCGGCACAGGACGAAATCAAAACTTTGAATGATAGGATAGCAATGTTAGAGAAAGGCTTGCAGCTTGCTTCTTCCAGGTTAATAAGAAGCGAAACTATAAAGAATGTTAATAATAGAGATCCAAACACAATATTATGGTGAGAGCCATAATTGATAATCACACAATTTAACGATGGCGGACCTTGATGACAATCATTGTTATCATCGACAAGAGCGTTATCTTATTCTAAAGCAATTTTAATCCTCATTGCATGACCTCTACATACATCTACTTGCTGATTTGAATAAGACATTTAGTCAATGGGAAAACGAACATGTATGATAAGCAGAATTTGATGATAATTTTTCTTATAATCTTACACTATGATATTTTAAAATATCGCGGCTTAGCCACCATTAGATAAATAAATTATGCATAAAAACACCCCTTTGGAAATTTCGTTTTCAAAATTTGGGTGCATTCCGTCCTTATAAAAAATTTTATCCGTTATTTCTGTAAAAAAATGAGCCTTTTACGGTAAAAAGATGCGATGTATCGACTTTTTTATAGGGCGTACATGATTTGAAATGAATTTTAGATACTCAATTAAGGTATTTCCTTGTCGTAAGTTTAAAATTACTGTATAACGGATAATGTTCAAAGTATAATAAAATATAAAGAAGTTGAAGGCTTTACGTTGTGGTGCACAAGATTTTAAATTATCATTAGATTCATATTTGAACAACCTATCCATTTATTTGATATGGTTGGATATTTAATTATTAGATGATTATGGTTAATATCATTAACATTTTCAACATTATCGTTGGGATTGTTGTGTAATCTCTGAGAAGAAATACTTTTTTGTAACCAATACTAACGTGGTCTTTTATTTTGCATACATGCACATACATGCACAGAACAAATTCCGAATTTGCATTCTATCGGCAAAATAGATGTTTTACGCGACAGCTAGTTACTTATCGAATTTTTTTTTTACTCAGTTACAACTAACCAAAGAAAATTTTCAATATAAGAAACCTACATGGGAACTTTGGAAATAAGGCTTCAAATCTTGTTTACGTTTAACTACTCAGCGCAGGACGAAATCAAATGTTTACATCATATAATTCAACGGCTGTTGAATCTTTTCAGCAAATTTATCAACAATTAAAAATAAATACCCGATTACTGAATGAATATTGGAGTAATTGGACGATTACAAGACTAAAACTGGACAAAGACTCGGTATTCAAATATATTTTTATAAATCAAATGGTGATGAAATGACTTTTTTTTGATAATTTTATAATTACTAATTCCTATTTATGAATAATCAATTTTTTTTTATTTTTGTTATAAGATAAATGTTTTTTTCGGCATCATTGACTAGAAAATCAGTTGAAAGACTCGTTGCAGGATTTTCTCTTCGTTCTACAATTTCGACTTCCCAGTGGAATATCCTCTGTTTTTCTCTGAATAACCAAATTTAATTATAATTACTCGCGACAGCAAAGACAGCTTTAATTCTATCAATTGTTCTTCTTCACAATAAAACTTGTATTATCCTCATTGTATTAACGTCCAATTTTATTTCAACTTCTCTGAGAGCTTTTGTACGAGTAACGTGATGATCGTCGAGATCGTCCAATTGGAGTTAATTGCTAAATTTTATGCATGGTTTCACGAAAACATGATATAAATGTTCAATGTTGTAATCTCCGATTGTATTTTGTCTTATAAATCATCTTGTTAATTAATAAACTAAAGTTTATAATATATTATTTCTAAGTACGAAAAAATTTATTATTTGTTATTATTTTTTTTTAAAGAAAAAAGGTCTCAATGGAACAAGAATTAATAGTATTAACATCATTGTCAAAAAAGACTTTACAATTTGGAGAAAACTTGTGTTCTAAAGCTGATAACTATGTAAAAGAATGCAAAGTTGATGTCGAAAATGTAGAAAAAATTTGTCCAAAATTAAAATTTCTTTGGAGCGAATTAGAAGTTCAAGCTCAGGTATCTTGAATCGATTTTTTACTTTTTATTTTATCTTATTTTATTTTTAAAAAAAAGTTTTAATTTGCGTTTTAATGTAATGAAGTCGGTTGAAAAATTGAAGAGTTTTGCAGAAAAACAAAATGGAATATTACAACAATTTTATGCTGTAAGTAAGGCCATTTCTCGTGTAGTCTTTTTTTTTAAAAAATTAAATCTCATCTCTTAGTTAAAAAAAAATTTAGAGTAAAGAACAAGAATTGATGATGTTAACTAATGAGTTAGAAAATACATTACAAAATTTGCGCTGTAAACATGTTGATATATCAATTAGAGAGAATGCAGTCGCATTAGAAAAATCAACGAGAGAAAATACACCACCAGGAGGTGGTGATTTAAGTGGAGGAAAAAGAGGGCTTGAATTTGATTTTATTGAAAAAGATTATAATAATAAAATTGAAGAAAAGATCACTTTATATGATTACGTTGAAGAACAAAGCGTACAAGAATTAAAAGATAAAACTCGAGAAGAAGTTTCAGCTATAGTGGTAAATGATCGTCTTTTCTGTCTTTTATTTTTTGTGTAAGATATTTATTAACAAAAACATATTGTTAATTTTTCTTCGTATAGAATTATTATAATAATAGTTTAACATTAATAGAGTATATAAAAAATCATTTATTGCAATTTAACGAAATGCTCGAAAGTAATACCATTTCATTTGAAGAGTCCGTTATAGAATTTTCTCGTGATAAATGTAATATATTGGATCAAGAAACTCGTTCTATGGCGGAAATTTTAGTTTCATTAGCAAAACATTATGATCAAGTTGCTGCAGCTTTAAAGTAAGTATATAGGATTTTTCTTTCTTTTTTTTTGGATCACAATTAATTTACTTTTTTTTATTGTTATAGAGCATGCCAATCGAATACTGAAGAGTTAGATATTTCTGGTAGGATAAAACATACTCTATTTTAATTTAAACACTTTGCTGAGTTATATGATTAAACGTATACCAATATTCTTTTCTAGTCCTGAAGGAAGATACAGATTTAATACCGACTATAGTTGAAGAATTACAAGAAAGCCTTCAAAAGATCGAGTCCACTTGGTAAGAATTAATGAATACAATCTAAAAGTATATATTATATATTAATTTTTTTAATTTATTATTTAGTGAAGAAGTTCGCATTAGAAATCAAATATATCAAGTATCATATGACGAGGCCGGTAAATTATTTACGGAATTAGAAGGTTTTGGAACAAAAATGGAAAGTTTTGTAAATACAATGAAAGAACTTGAAGCTGATTTTGAGAGAAGTTCCACTATTGTAGATCGTTATTTGGAAGAATTATATAATTTAAATTTATGGTAATGGTAATTTTTGTTTGATTTATTATGTTAAGTAATTATAATAATATACTTTTTCAAAAATCTAGGTATGAAGAATTCTCTAAGTCATATGATTATATGATCATGGAGATTGATAGAAGAAATCGAGTAAGGGAGCAGCATGAAAAAACTGCCGAGGAATATTTAGCGAAACTTGAAGGATTATATATTGGTATTTTTTAGCTATAATTTGGCTAATTATTTATGCTAGTAAAAAAATTTTTTTAAATAACAACTCTTTATTAGAGGAGGCACAACAAAGAGAAATTTTCTTTCAAAATCAAGGAAGGTATCTTCCAATAGATTTATGTCCTCCTATTCAGGTATATTTATATTCTTAAAGATAATTGTGAAAATTTTAAACGTGGAACAGTCAGCTAAGATTAAATATTATTCTAGGAACCACCAATTAAATACGATATTATTCCTCAATATATTTCACGTTTACCAACAATATCGAGTAAGACTTTAGCAGAGGTAAATAATTATTAATTAAATTAAGAAGTCATACGATTGATTATTCACAAAAATTTTTTATTTTTTTTTATAGGCACAGGAAAATATATTAAAATATAAGGGAAGAATACTTTAGCTGTTAGATTTATATAATTTATAGACAATATAAGTTCGTTTATTTGTTTATAAAAAAAAACTATAATATAATAAATAGATATTTATTTTTAGACTAATAAAAAATAAAATGGGTAAATGAAGTAATAAAAAAATTTGGTATCGTTTTTTGATTCTTTCGGTTGGATAAACTAACATAAATTTAACCTATTGTTAGTGCAAAGTCTTTTGAGTTTCATATGGTGCTTAAAATTGTTATGAATCATTATTTTTAGTTAATTACTTACCTCATTTGATGGCTTAAAGACCAACTTTTTGTTGTTTGTGAAACTCATTTACCTTTTGATCATTAAATTTTTTGTCAATACCGAAACTTTTATTCCTTCCCATTAGAACTTTCAGAATTTTATCATTTTATCAACAAGTACTCCATGAATGTCCTTGAGGACTATAAAGAACAAAAGATTTTTAGATTTATGATGATTTATTTTAACAATATTTTTTAAGCGAATAAATCATTTACTCGATCTCTTTTGATTTATTAGGGCATTTTAGCCAAGTCTAAATCAATCAAAAATTAAGATATAAGAAAGATCTCGGCTAGTCTAATTTCTTTTTGTAGGTAGGTTGAGAGGTTTTTTTGTAATTTATACAAACAAATAGCGTCTAGAATTCATCCATTGTGACTTCTCTGATGAATTTGATTTTGCGGCTTGTCTCCCTGTTCTCGTTTAAATATTCGGATATTTCATTATTCCATTTGTTGATTTTCATTATTCTTCAGATATCTTGGGATAAGTAATCGCTATGAATAAGCTGTCGAGTTTTCGATTTCCATTTGTAATATTTTCTGTACTTAAGGTATTTTGGTAAAAACATAATGGTTCTCATCGCGTGGTTTTTTGATGCTAGTGGTAATCGAATTCTCTTGGATGAACTGTAAAAACCTCTATTCGAGGTACATTCCTTGTTGCTGTGTCTAAACTGTGTCTAAAGAGGAGTTGGTATAGTATGTATTTGACAAAGATCAATATCCCCCAGAAATTAAAGAGCATCTCTCTTAATTCATTCTAAAACACATGAATATGATTAAATAATAAATTCATTCATTCTTTAACTGCGAATATATATATAGTTGTTTAATTCTTTTCTTCTTTTCTAAATTTGTGATAATTTTTTCGTCAGATAAGCAAGGAAATCTTAGTTATGGCGCAGTTACACGTGATTAGACTGTGAACTCTGTTCACAAACTACTCACATGACTTTTACAATTTCCAATTTAATTTGTAGAAAATGTGGAATCTAACGCGGGATAAAAAATAATCAAGTTTCATGAAGTCATACTGCGGATGGTGTTAATCGATCTTCCAGTAACGTGTCAATTCTCTGTCCCCTCTTTGGTTTGTGCTTTTATAAGGGAAATTCGTCTCCATATGTAGAAAAATGGAAACTAGAAGTATAGAGATTGTATCGAAGCCATCTGTGACCAACACTTAAACATCCATTTCAAACACGCAGGAGGAAAATGTAAAACTTGTTCTACTCAAAGCAGAGCCTACAATAATTTTTTTGATCTGTGATATCCACTTATATTCTTCTTCGCAGTCGATTTCTATTGTCCACTAATATTCTTTTCCGCAATCGATATCTCGTATCTGTACATTATTATTCTCTACGGTCGATATCCAGTTACCACTAATCTCTTCTCCGCAGTGGATATCTTACGTTTCAGGTATTCTTTTCCATAGTAAAGTATATTAGAAACAGTGACCCATTGAGAATATCTCCTAAACCTCAAGTTAAATAAGACCGAAGTTCTTATGATTACGGTTGTCATATTTATCTAGAAGTACGAAATAGAATCGCCATATGTAGTGATATGGGTTCTTCTACATAATAATGCACATTGTAGATAAATGTTATCGACAACTATCATTTTTTTTTTGTTTTTTCTCTCCTACTGACCGTTTTGCCGCTCAATCACGCTCTTTGTACGTATTCCTAAATAAATTACAAATCTCTTAGTAATTTTATCAAAATTGATAAATTGGTTTGGTATATAAAGAGAAAATACTACTTAATTTTTTGTTATCTCTTCCAATTTTTTGTCAGATCGTTTTTCATAAGCAATCAAGAAATCTTTTAATGAATAATTAATATTAATATTCTGGTCGATATAATGAGGAGAACCGAGAGAAATAGGAGGAGAAGTAGGCCAGAAGTGAAGGAACGGGTAGGTGTAGTTACTGATAGACGAGTGATAGTGTAATCTGCAAGTTCGTGATTATTCGTGGAATGAAACGAGACATTTTTTTTAATTGAGATATTAAGCAATTGGACAAAATTACTTATGGATTGCATAAAATTTCGTGGTATAAATAAAATCCTGAATACATGATGACTAATAATAATATTGTTATTGTTATTATTGTTATTATATCTTGTAATCTTGTTCGACGAGTGAAACACCCAAATTTCTTGGTAGTAATAAAGCTTCGTCAGCCTTTTCATACTTCAACTTGTATGGTAGACATCATTTATTTTGTTTGCAATCTCTATTATGTTCTGATTTGCTATTTTTTCATCCACTTTATGAAATTTTTTTTCTGCCAAATTATTTATATGAAGAATCTTTCACACATTGGCAAGCTTTTTGATAATATTAATCTTTAGCATATTTCATAAATGGCTATTCGAACGATAAAGCCATTATATGACATCACTTTTTTTGAAACTTTTTTGAATTATTTATGATATAAACATACGTGTTAAATCAAACATGAGCGAATAGCAATATATATTTTAGTAGAGATCACAACTAATGAAAAATTTACATCTATCTTATTTATTTATGAAAAGATGTAAGAATTTCTAACTTTTATTAGTAATTTATTTATACTAAAATATCATATAGTATTTGTAATTGTTAGGAAAACTATTTATTTTATTTATTTTATCTCGGACAGTGGTTATTGTAGAATCTGATGTTCTTACATCATTACTATTAAAAAACACAGGAAAAATTTGGTATTTTATTTTTTGTTTTTACCTGTATAATTTTGAAACTTTCTTACGTGGGTTAAAAAAAATTATTATTTGTCTTCCTTTTTATTATTTTCATTAAGTTCTTCCTGGATCCACGGCCTGGAATAGTTTATAGCCATGGTGGAGATTCCTATTAATAGGAATCTATTTTCCGCTGTAGTAAATATATTATCCACATCCTCCTAAATAATTACAAATCTCTTAGTAATTTTATCAATTTGTTCGGGTATATATATATATAAAGGGAAAATACTACTTTGAAGCTTTTGGTTATCTCATCCAATTTTTTGTCGCATCGTTTTTCATAAGCAACCAAGAAATCTTTTAGTGAATAATTGATATTTTGGTTTGGATAAGAAGGCAAAGTACTAGAAGAAGAAGCAGAACGGGTAAGTGGTATAGTAGTACGGATAGGTCGTAATTTTGTGATTACTCGCGGAATAAAGCTAAACATTTTTTTGATTGAGATAAGAAAAATTATTTTTTTAAAAAAATGAATTGCATAAAATTTCATGGTATATATAAATCTCTGAATATATGGTGACTAATAATTAGCCCGAAGTGTAATGTATTTATCTCTTAAACTGTGTTGTGACCATATTTACTTGCAAATTAAGAAGTTTAAAGGATAAAACGCAATTTCAAATGTGCACCATTTTGACCTAAATTATATTAACCATGCATATCATACACTCTGGGAAAAAAACGAAAAATTCACTCTGAACCCATCATCAAGACTGGAAGGGTGGTACCAGCACAATTGTATGGAGTCCCATGATTGACCCGGCGTTCCGTGATTTAGAGATTGATATACGTTCAAATGTCGATGACTCGATGTCGACGTTATTTCATGGATTTATTTTAATATTGCATTATAACCGGTGAATATCCCGCCGGTGAGATTTTTAATATTGCACATTAATTAATTCAAAATAATTATTCAAACAAATGACATTATAACCATAAATTATTGAATATTTATAATATCAAAAATTTTATTTAAGATATGGATTAAAATACAAACTCAAATAAAAAATAAATCATTTAAGATTTTCTTAAACTACCAACAATCTTAATTTACTTCGAACTTTATCAGATATGTCCTTATACGCTTGTTTATTATTAGAATTTTCACCAAATTATTCCTCAAACGTACAAGTAGATCGCAATTTTTTTTTTAATGATTTTACTATTTTTTTTTTTTTTGATAATAATAACTGCAGTTCATTAAGCCTTAATATTTCCTAAATAATGAACAATTTTATTTGCGGCTACAATTTTTTTAAATTAGTCGCTGGGGGCTTATTGTATCTTTTTTCAGATTTAATTTTTACACGTCATAAATTCATTCGTCAAAAAAATTTGTAATGCAAAATGAACTTTTTTTTAATTTTTAATTAACTATAAACAAGACCCAAGTTCGCAAGGTTGGAGGGTGGGGCGCTACTCTATTCAATAATGATTGGATTAGGATTATTTAAAATTTCACCCAAGGTATTTCCTTAAACGTGTGAGTATATCGTGACCAAAAAAGAGTATTTATTTATTGCAAGTTTTGAAGATCTTTGGATGGGACTTGTTTTCTATCCCACGATAATTATGTGATCGGCAAATGATTTCTGGTTTTTAAACCTTCCAAGAAGGCTGAAGAACAGTTGACGTTGATCATCTTATATTTAATGTGATGATAATCAAAAAAGTTGAATTACGCATTTACGCTACGTATGCAACAATAATATAAGCCTACGTTTTGCCTAAGCCAATTAAATAAATATGGCTTATTTACTGATTTTCAGGCTTACTCGACTACGTGAATTATATCAAGTACTTTGCCACATTATTCGTTGGAAAAAAAAATGCGTTATAATTACATTACTTCATGTTATATTTTTCAATTCTTATAAATACTTCAAAGTTTCACATTAATAAAAACAAATTAAAAGTTTAGCATTTTATAATATCTTAAATAAACTTTTAAAACTAATTGAAAAAAATGAATATCAAAGCTTTTTTTGCTATTTTCGTGATCGCTATTTCAATTACTTCTACCACAGTATCAGGTAATAGTTAAATGAAGCTTATTTTATTACCGAATAATTTAACTTATATTTATTAAAACTATAATTTTTAAGCACAACGTTGTCCTCCTGAATGTTATCCTAAATTTCCGCGTGGCTGCTTTTGTGAGAAATAGGTAAAATTTATATAGTACGAAAAAATTAGATAATATATATGTTACCGCAATTTTTTCTTCTATAGATGGAATAAGTAATTAAAATAAATTCAAAAAATTAGTTGGTGTCGCACAAAAACGATAATCTTTATTAAGGCTGAAATAAGTGGCAAAGATTCCAAATATGTGTTGAGAAGAATAGAACTTTGTTACAATAAATTTCTCAAAATTAACTTTCCAATCCTCTAGTTTCTTTACACAATTAATTTTGTTAAATGAACCAAATCATGTCTCTATTTATTTCTTTAATTTTTCGCTTTCTATCCTCCACAGTAAAAATTTAAAATAAAATAAAATAAAACATAAAACCCAGCCGCAAACGTTAGGCTTGTGATTTTATGAATTTGCATGATATCTTGATATTAACGTTCTGCTATGCTGCAAAGTATATTCATTCATTGTGTAATGTAATGCTAGTTTGTGTGAAATGAAAATAAAAGTATCGTGTATTGTGTATTATGTCATGATAAAATTATTATACAGTAACAAAGTTGATCAAAGTAATATTTTTATTCAACTACTAATAACTATAAAATAGCTTTTTTCTCAAGTATCAAAATTTCTTATTAGCGTTATTTCTGAAATTTAGTTGCAGCTGATACTAAAATTGTATATAGAAATTCTTAATCACCTAAAAAAGTGAGGTCATATGATTGCGATAAAAATTAAAGTACAGAAGAAATATATGAATGTATTAAACCATAAGAATCGTAATTGCACTGTTCATTGTTCCGGTCTAAGTCAACATTATTATTACTAGGAAAACGGAAAACCGTTGAAGTCCGTCGCGTTATTCAATTTTATTATATATATATGTATGTAATTACTGTAAAAATTAACAATTTTATAATATCAGAGTTATAATATATATGAAATTCGATATATAAAGTGTTAATGTGAAAATTGTTCTTGATTAAAATCATTGTCTAAGTTAAACAGATCAGTTTAATTTTACAATTAATTCGTAATTTGCGAGGTATAAAATTTTAAATGAGATGCGCATAGTAAATGTTATAACAATCAAAGGATACACGCTATAATAAAATGAACAGGCCCAATAAAATAGTATATTTTGATCCATTTTTAAATGTCGATTGTAATAAATTTTGTATAAAAACTTTTCTTGCACTTTAATATATGTCATTTTATTAATGATAAATGGCCCCACCACAAGGGTCTCCTAGGAAGTAACACCCACGCGTAGCACCATGTTGTTTTACGACCAACCGTTCCTACTATGGACTATAGCACTATCACGAGATCGCAATAGTAAACTTCTAAAATTGCGTTATTCTTCCAGATCACCCTATTGATGTTGAACAACATCAAGTTTATGGACCTCCTGGAACTGTCTATAGATATGCTGAGTATGCACTAATTATGCAATCGATATCTACCCCATCGCCATCACCATCACCGCCACCATCTAATAAGAGGGAAAGGGATTAAGGAAGGATATTGAGGCTAGAGAAGAAGATTAGGATAAGAGAATTAAAGAAGTTTAGGTAAGGGGTTATAGATGACTCATGTGAAAATATATGAAAGTTCGTATATGAAAAGTTTACAATAACTTATATGAAACTATAGTAAGAATGATTTTATACATATAATGATCAGTCATGTCGTTGCATCAATATTCTATTTTGTGAATAATTATTTAAGAATTTTCTATCGAGATATCTGTGTAGAAGATAACACATTTTATTAAGTAATTAAATTTATATAACTCTAATGGATAAGTACAAAAAAAACTAATCGAAAAATTTTAAAATAAAAATTAGTCAAATGATAACTAAAATTATTATAAATCACCTGACCAAACTTGTGATCACGATTTTCAAGGAAACCCCTTGAAAAGAAACGAACATTCAACCACATGGATGTTGCAATAAAAAAAAGGAATATGTATTTTTAAGTTACTGCAAAATTGGATCTAAGATCATTACTTGTTATAAAATACATTAAATACTGTAAATATTATTAAGGAGATGAATATAACACAACTGTAATACTTTAATCAATACTAACAAACATTAAAAAAAAGAGAGACTGCCCAAAATATACTTCAGTACATGGTTGGTGGTTAAATATCACATGTTTAACAAATTCGTTACTAACATCAATAACACGTATAAATCCTGATCTTTAGTTCTATTTAATTATTTTTTTCCTAAAATTTCTCCTATACAATTGGAAAAATTAATCTCAAATTATAACCTTAAAACATAATCTAGAAATAGACGTGAATTTTACATGTGTGTACCATAATTTATTAAATACTAATACATATATTTGCTTGTGCAATTACCGCACTTTTTCTCTTTCACTTTCCGCGTTAGACTAGATTTAATTGTTAAAAATTGGATTAACGTCGAGAGCGTTAAATACTGCATTTATTGGCGATCCGACAGCATAATTGCCCATAGGCAAACATATTGATCCATGGCCCAATGCTATCATTTTTCCATCTTTATCATCTTTATCAAACCACACACAACCTGAATCTCCCCCTTTCATAAAGGAATCATCACCTTTAGATTTTACTAATATTTGTCTATCTAACCACTTAGGGGGAAAATTATTTATTCCCTGGACTTTTATCTCCTCCATAAGCACACCATGAAAAATAAACGATTGTTTTACCAAGATCACTCGGAAACCATCTGAAGATTTAACTGATACATCTATCTCTTTAATATGCCCTTCAGTCAATCCAGATGTGCGTCCAACTTTAAATATAGGTTCCGAACTATCAACTGATTTAACGTCTTTAAAACCTGAAAGTCGGATAGAGGGATCAATAGACATGTCTTCAAATACAGGTCCTCTGATAGCAAAATGGTTCACTCTTGGAGGTCTTATGCCTGGTTTTAATGAGGCTATCGCAGCATCAACTCCATAGTTTCTATTATCATATCTATGATTTTCGCGCAACCCTTTTTCATATATTGCAAATTGGGTATTCTTGTTTCTTGCTTTTTCTAAATCTTCTTCCAATCTTTTGATTTGTGTGAGAATTTCTTCTTTTTCTGTGTTGTATAATTCGGCTGTTTCGGGCTGTGGTTGTAGTTTTTCTAATTTTTCTTTTTCATGTTTCAAATCTTTTTCTATAAGATCTGTGTGATCCTTATCAGCTGGTTGACAGATAATTTTTTGATCATTAGAGAAAATGACATGATCATTTGTCAGCAAGTAAGTGATGTCGTTTTGACCTTTCACAAATGCACCTAATGTTCCTGCCCGAGTAGTACCAGAAATTCCAATACTACAACCAGTGGAAACGTAATTCAAATACTTCCGACAATCTTTAGAATAATTTCCAGTCATTTCATAAAAACCCTCACGCACATCTGTTTCTATATCATTAATGGCCTCGGGGAAAAGCATATCTCCAATAGGGATTACTCCTTTGCGGATTACATAAAACACAATTGCTGGTCTGTTTGTATAAAATCCACCAACAATTTTCCAATCCAAACTAATTGCAGTAAGATTGCTAAATAGTGAACGAAATTCGAGTCCAAGCTGGGTATCTAGGATATCATCAAACTTCTTTTTTACGTCCTGAGGCAATGCCATTGATGGTGGATAATTTCTTGGGCCTAATTCTGTAAAAGTTCTCCACTCAATATAGATTATTGGAAAGTCTCCAACCTTTTGCAATGGCTTTTTTGGAGTCCTATCTACTACAACATATAGTTTTTTGTTGCTATAAGGAGGAACTTCTACTTTTTCACTACCAAAGAAAATATCTCGTACATTGTGGTCTTTTAGAAACTCTTCCCGAATTTGTATACCTGTAAAAGGTTAAAAGAATATTCAGAAAACTATTAATCAAGCAGGTTAAAGGTTCAAAATATTTACCGATACTCTGGCTTATTTCTATATTGCGTGATTCAATGTTTAAATCATCATTATAATTAAACTCTTCGTGGTCTAGATTTTAAATATAAAATTATCGTCAAAGTTAATTCCGTTAAAATAAATAAAAATTTCACAAGTAATAATTAATTTATTTACCAGTAATACTAAGAGTTTCTATTAAATAAAAAATTTATTTATTAATCATCAACATCTTCCATTTCGGTTAGTAATGGAGAAAATAAAAATTAATTTATTTTCTTAAAAATTTATATTTACCAAGACTTTTACTAAGTCTGACATCTTCACTCTCCAATTCTTTAAGTGTTTCTACGCCAACTGAAATCAAAAATTTGATATTATAAATATGAATGAAAAAATCTATTTCACACAATTTTTTTAGAATAATAGGAAATGTACAATTCAATTACTTGTTTGAGCAATGGTTTTTTGATCAGAATCTACTGAATTTTTGTTGTTGAGCTTATTTACTTTTTTGATCGCATTCCACATTTTCTTGTCAATATCCCAAGGAAAACCTTTTTTTTTTCTTGACCCGAATTTTGGTTTGATAAAAATAACTGACATAATTCTCGGATCTTTTTCAATTTCTTCCATGAAAAATTTTCTGTATTTTGTGTCGATTATATTTATAAAATTCCACTTCTTTTTTATCAAAACAATTGCAAGAATTCCATGATTATCCACAAAAGTTAATTCGTATTTCTCAAAGTCATAAAGATACTTAAACCCTGGAATCCATTCACTATTACTTTCACTAATGAATTGATTTTGCAGTTCCGCTACTTTGTTCTTGCCTATATATTCTGAATAACTATTATTCCATTGGCTGATTTTTTCATTGTGATTTGCGTTCAGTTGGTATTTATTTATCTCGGGATAGTATTCATGCAAAAAGCGAAAAATCGCTATAAATATGTCATCGAGTTCTTTCCGTACCCATTTATAGAATTTTTTATCTTTCTCGACTACTGACTTAAGATATTTTGGTAAAAACACATGATTTTCATCACTTGGTTCCTTTTCGATACTAGTAGCAGACGGTTGATTTTGGATAACCTTTAAAAATTGTTTACATTTACTTAAGGACCATTCCTTATCGTTAATATCAAATTGTTCTGCTATGGATATATCCATTTTGAATATAAAGAATGTAAAAAATTTTTTTTTTGCACAATTTATAAATGTGATGTTGTCGTACGTATTACGAAGCTTCTGTGCGTGCGCATACTGTACATATTGTACACCAGATGATCTTTATCCGCAGATCTCAAGGCGCGTTGCTATAATTAAGAACATTTAACATTATTATCCTTCATGTTTGATAGATAAATTTATTGATATCATACAACCATTCATCATTAACTTTGGAGTAATAACTTCTAATTATTAAATGTTATTCGATTTGCGCATGAGTAACGTTAGAATCAATTATGGCAAGATCGAAAAAAGAACATCTAACTTTAATTTTTAAAAATAACAACCACATTTAGCAAATTAAACATAAGGTTTTAGCATTTGAAAGAATGGAAAAATTGAAAGAATCGGTTACGTCAAATGTATTCAAGAAACAATAAACTCAAATAAAGAAGCCTTAAAATTAATATCACGCAAGATCTGAAATTAATATTTTGAATCACTTATTTTTGTCTTATTATAATTTATCGAGGAATAGAATCACTACTTGAGCCCATAATCAAACGTGTTTTAAATAAACTTTCTTACACAATTTATATCGATTGAAACTCTATAGCAGCTTTCAGTGATTTCATGAAAAGTTAATTTCGTTGCTATTGTAACAAAAGAGATGTATATTTAATATATTTCATATTTTGAAACCTCTATTATTCATTTTAAAAAACTTTTATCATAATTGTGAATTGAAATATTAAATAAATGCGTTGTAATATTTGTTTAACGTTACCAAAAATTATTTTATTTCATAAGCAAAAATCTTAAAAGTATACTCATAGCACATATTTTATTGTAAGATTTAAGACAATTAAATTCATTCATTATATAAATTAAGCTAAAATGTTGAATAATATTGTACTGTACAGTACATGAATTAATACCTGTAAAATATCAATGAATCCAATCTTAGTTTTTTCCTTCCTATAGATTCATCTTATCAAAGTCTTTAACAATCTCTTCATTCTCTTGTTCTTCTGTACCTTTCTCAAAATTATAGAGCGTTTCCTCGCCAGCTAGTATTGCAAAATTTGATATTAATGCATATGTAAAAAATATAATTCAAGCGACTGCAAATAAATATGAAAGAGATAATTACTTGTTGGGGCGACGGATTGTTGATCAGAATCCAGTGACTTTTTGTTGGACTTGTTTACCTTTTTGATTGCATTCCATATTTTGCGGTCGATGTCCAATGGAAACCTTTTCCTGTTTCCCAAAAAACTGGGCTTGAGAAAATAACAGCCAATTACTGTAATTATTTCAGGTTTATCTTTAGTTTCATCCATGAGGATATTTCGATAGTTGATAGCTTGTTTTTCGGCCTCATTTACTTTTTTATACTGAAATGGAGAATATCCAATTATTTTCGTTTCAACAGCCACAAGAATTCCAAGATCATTCGCAAAAATTAAGTCCCCTACGTATTCCGCATGTTGATATTCGAAATTATAAAGATATTTGAACCCCGGAAGCCATTTATCATTAACTTCTTTGATGAGATCATTTTGCAAATCCGCTTCTTTCTTGGATTTTAGTTTTTTAAGAATGGGATATTTAATTTTCCATTCGCTTATTTTTTCGTCGTGATTAGTTTGCAATTGAAATTTGTTTATGTCGGGATAATATTTATTCAAAAATTGAAAAATCGCTTCAAATATATCGTCAAGTTCTTCTGATTTCCATTCGTAAAATTTTTTGCCATTTTCATTTACTGCCTTAATGTATTTTGGCAAAAAAATGTGGTTCTCATCATTCTTTTCCATTTCGATTCTGGTATTGGTTGGTTTCTCTTGGATGAACCTTAAAAATTGTTTACATTTATTTATAGTCCATTCTTCATCATTAATGTCAAATTGTTCCGCAACGAATTTATCTGATTTATTCATATTGAACGTTAAATAAGATTAAAAGGATATAGAATTTTTTTTCCCTCTGCAATTTATAAATAATTTTTGTTGCACATATTACGTGGACTCTACAAAACAAACAGGCGATCTTTTGTGCTTCCATTGTTGAACAATCTCCTCTTTGCATAGTTTTCTTTATGCAAAAAAGATTACCGAAATTATGGAATACTGTAATTTAATTAAAAAAAACGCTAGAATATTTACGTGATATACAGACTATTCAGGTTTATCAGGTTTATCATATGTTAATTTTTTACTCACATATTGCAAAAGATACTTTTCGGTGTTATACTACTGTAATTGGAGGTATTTGAATTTTAAGATTTATTACTACAACTTTCTATACAGTGGAAGAATATCAAAAATAGATAATAGAAATTTTTTTAAATATTAATCTTAAGTAAGGCGTAATATTCCGAAAGTATTCCTTATCCATTCCAAAAGAAAAATAAATAGTTTTGTAGAATTAAGTCTTTTATTGGCCTTTATATATATATATTTTTTTTGTTGCAAAGAATATACAAAAAATATAATTTGTAATGACTCCCGACATGGGAGTCACTAACGAGGAGGCCTTTTTTTCAAATTTCCGTCATTGCTCTGCATTGGTCAATCCAATCATTTTAGGTTGTCATTTGCATAATTCTACAAACTAAATGTTTACCTTGAGGAGCGTTTCAAATAAAGAATCGAAAAACCACGAACTTTAGTTTAAATTAAATTTCATATTTAAGCAGGCCCAAAACCTTAGCTATTAATAACCTTTCAAATAAAATTCAGAAAGTTGATCGTATCAACAAACTTAATTCCGTCTAATAAGCGTTGACCTTTAGATTTAACATAGTAATTTCGCTTGTTATACTTTTAAAAGATTCAGCTTTCTGTTTATCAGTACGCGCTGTTAGTGAAGATAAATTACTAAGAATAAATTTTCAGTAAATTTATCCGTAATATGCTTCTAACGAATTATAGTTCATTTATTCCGATTCGTGATGCAGATTAAATTAAAACAGATTTGTTAAATAAGTCAAACTTGACATTCAAAACCAACTTTGACGCTTTAAGGAACGGACAAAAATATACATAAAATATTAAAATATGCTTCTTTTAAAGTTATATTTATTAACATTTTTTTTATTGAATTTATTTCTTCGGCACATTTCTATAACTAGTTTTCAAAGAAATTTGATCAGGGCATCCCTTCTGGATGTATCACACCATTTGATTCACTGTGGTGCTTTGTATCACTTTGTGAGCTCAGCTTACCTTAGACATTTTAAATTTTTGCTGCAAATGAAGGATATGTCCATTCGTTTTTAATAATAAACGGTTCATTTGGATTCAACTTCAGCAAGCGTGATTCATGTAGCGAATCCCTTTGGGATTCAGTCAAGACACTTGTCTTGGCTGAAATTGAGGTGTTTGCTTGCGCTTCCGATGCAATTAGTCTGATTGGTTTTCGAAGTTTGAGAAGTAGGTGGTGTGCTTATCCTAATATCTGGTAATTTCTTTGAGACAGACCCTTAGCTTTTCTCAAGTGGGACTTTAGGTTCGCTTTTTCTATATTTTTGCATCCAGAATATGAGTTAGGTTTTTTTATATCAGCATAGCCAGATCCACTGAAAGCATTCAAAATTATAAACTTTTTAATAAAAAAATGTTTATAATAAAAAATGTAAAATATTTTAAACTTCCTAATATATCTATTGAATTCTTATTTTGGCTGATTTATAAATAATTTTTTTACTTTGATTAATATAAAACTAAATATTTAATATAAAATGGCTTGATATATGACAAAAATATTAGCATTTGTAAAGTGGCTTAGTTTTCAACAAAAAAAGCTTAGTATTTAATAAAATGGCTTTGTATTTAACAAAAAAAAAGGCTTAGCATTTAACAAAAAAATGTTTAGTATTTAATTAAAGATGACTTGTTATAAGTTAATTTTTATTTAAAATAATTAATAAATTACAGATATGATAATAATATGAATGTTCAATAGAATAATACCTACAAATGATTAAATATACAAAAAAATTATAAAGAATATTAAAAAATAAAGAAATGTTAATATATTATATTTGAAAAAATTTTATATTAAATGTTTTTTATATATCTAGATGGGATTCCCATCCCATTTATTTGGGAAGCGAATATTTACCTTGTTCTGTACGTGCCCACTTCAAAGAGGGTTATTCAGCTGAAAGTGGGAATAAAACGAAAGTAAGTTAGTAAACGTAACAAAAGTAGATGCAAAACGTCCCTCAAAGATACTGTAAGTATAACTTTTTTAATGAAGTGAATTTATAACAAACCAACACTTTACCAAGTTTCTTTATTATGATGTGAATGTGTTATCGGAAAAATCCTTTCCAGTTTCAATGTCACATCTCTAAGTTTCTAATCTCTGCGTGAACATTATTTTGTGCGTTTTGCGAGTGACCTTTCGAAATTTTTAGTCTATCATCTTTATCTTCTGGTTTGGTGGAATGGAAACCTTCCATAATCTTAACAGCTGGCTTTGAAGGTGTATCCGTTAAATTCGCATAGTAGTTTCTTGAAATGATCAAAGTTGAGTCTTTCGAAACTGATTTTATCACGCTCAATCTTTTTTTCTGACAGTTCTACTGATATTAATCATGAAACGGACATCAAGTTACGTTGATAAATAACCGATAACGAATGAATTTTACAGTGATACAGTACGCAGCATAACAAATGATTCTTGGGTACACAAATTATTTTATACTAAATAGCAGGACTATATACTTTTCACTATTGCGTGTTTTTCACGTAAAAAAAAAACATAAAAAATTAAGTCATAAAAATTTTCTAAATTTTACATTAACTTCCACATAATTTCGCAAAATTTTTTATATAAATATGCACATAATCCCAGTTTATTCAACACACTATTTCTACATACTGTAATTTCCCATAATCTGCGAGCCGATTGGCATTTGTGTTTTTTTTTTATTCCAATCCGATTAATATTTCCCAATTGTTTTAAGGCGGAAACATCGTGCTGATATTTTTTATTAAGCTATAAATAAACTACAATTGCATAATAATTATTGATATTTTTTCATATACTAAATAACATGTAAAAGGACGCGTCACGTTAAACCGGAAATAGTTTAATCAATGGTTAAATATCATCCGAACTGCTTCGCTCATAACTAATACATATATTATCATTTATCATATCAATATAATCTAATTTCTAACTACACATATAGCGATTTGCTTTACTAAAAATTTCTTTTTTTTTAATAAAAAATTTAACTTCGAATAATATATCATCTAACTAGCCAGTTAACCGATTTTGATAGTATTATTTTATACGTATTATATTTATTAAGTAATAGTAATACCCATATTAAATACATATTAAATATTAAAAAATATTAAAATACATTTAAAATCCTACTTACTTTTTGGAAATATTCTAGAAATGGAACTGAATCTCAGTTAGCCAAATTAACAATATCTTCTTATCCAAAAAGTGGAAATTCTTCTCTAAATCTTGAAAACCTTGAAAGACTTACGGAGAACTCAAAAGAGTTGATAGAGAAATCAAAATGAAGTAACCCAAAATATTTTTTCTTTGAATAAAACTAGGGATTGGAACCGGTTAATGTTAACCGGTTAATTAACCGGTTAAGACGGTTAACCGGTTAAAGGATTTTGAAAATCGGTTAACCGGTTAAAACTATATTTACCATAATTCTAGTCAGATTTATATAATGCGGCCCAGAGACANCGTGTTCCTAAACTTGAAGTTTTAATGCCGAATTTTTTTCTATTTATTTATAATAATTTTAGTGATACATAGTCTTCCTATAACTAAATATGCAAGTAAAATCAAAAATTGGTACAATTTGTAGTAAAAAAAGTTTTTAAAATATTTTTGATATTAACCGGTTATTAACCGGTTAAGACCCTTGGTTAACCGGTTTTTAACCGGTTAAGGTTTTTTTGGACGGTTCCAATCCCTAAATAAAACTATACCATAGAGATCCATGCCAATTTTACTAGTGATAATTCTGTCAATTCCTGGTCCAAAATACATATGTTTCATAATTATTGGATTATTTAAAACGTGTCATATGATATCGCTTATTGACAAGATGGTATGCTAATTTGCAAGCTTTAGAAGTTGATGACGACTTCATTGAAGATACTGAAGTGTAAAGACAATAAAAACTACCTCTTTTACAAAAAGCATTTGATTTTTGGGTAACAACAGGTAAGAACAAAAATCTGAAGCAGCTGGTAAAAACTATCAATGTTGAAATAAATAACCAGCCAATATTTTTGAAGTAGACATGATATCAATATGGATAGAATGAGAATAAAACAATTGGAATTTTTACAACTCTCTTCAATTTCCACATGCCAAGAAATAGTTTAACAAAGAATGCATATTAAAGTTTATTTATAATCATTGGAAAATTGAAAGAACTTGGCAGTTACACAACGTAATAGTAAACTGTTTGATAAAGTTGTAATGGATTTTAGAATCAGAGTTTATCTGGAACTTTTCAAAATTAAAAAGATAATTAAATTACTTCTAGCATGATATAATTACATATAATATTTTTACAAATAAGAATTCTGCATCACATATTCAACATAATAAGTTTCAATCAAGGAATTCGAAAAAGAAACATAATAAGCATTTTTTTATGCATGAAGATAAAAAAGAAAAAAAAGAAGGAAAGGAACCTCAAAAACTATCACAAAGAGCGAGAACTAGAGGAACTTACGACAGAATTATCTGTCAAAAATTATAGGCTATCTAGGGAAAATCGGACTTTGAAACGACAAGTTGTTTCAGTTGGAGAAGAATAATGAGGAGTTGAAGTACAAGATATTACTAGTCTTCAACTAATATTAACAGTTAATAACTTTATTTTAACAACTTCTACATGGAAGATTATAAAAAATTTACAAAAAGGAAAAGATGAAATTCAACATTAAATTATTTCTTATTAAAACACAAAAGGACCATATTAGATGATTTTTACATTTACGATTAATTATGATTAATATATATGTTGTGCGTTATCTAATCACCTGACCTATGAGGCCGCGGCGTGTTGCAGACTTCTAATGCTGTGATATTCCAACGACTGGTTGGTGTGTTAACGGCATAGTGGGCATAGTGCTATGTGTTTTCAGGGTGGAACTTCTTAGGAAGTTTCTTTGTGGTAGAGTTGTCAATAATGAAATGTAACAAAGTTTCAAATTTCAATCAATATTATGTTACCCTATAAAAAATTTTTTCAGAAAAATGATCACGTGTCAGTTTCTTTGGAATAAAACTGGAATTTTTTCCAGAATTTTTTTATAACTATATTAATATTAATGAACAAATTCAAACAACAGTTAAAGATAATGATAATAAAGAGATTTTATTTCATAAAACTGAATAATTCAACTATTTTAACCTATAATAATATATAAACGAACGTGTTAATAATAACACGCAACTAAATAATACTTCCATAATTTCGTCATTTTAATGATATGTCCCTCTTTTTTATTCTAATATATAATTCAGCAGGTTGATTAAAAATAGCATATCTAATTTTCATTGGAACATTTGGATTAACTAATTCAAAATCGAATTGAGGTACAAGTAAAGCTGTTAAGGTTTTTAATATTATCATTCCTAATTTTCTTCCAGGGCAAATTTTAATTCCACCACCGAATACAATTAATGCTTTAAGATTATTATTTAAAGAAGGATTAATGAAACGTTCAGGATCAAACTTTTCAGGATTTTCCCAAAATTTTGAATCAGATTGAATACCAGAAGAATTCATAATAAAATGAGTATTTGCGGGCCAATTATAACCAGCAACTTCATCAGGTACATCATTATAACGATCAACTAAAGGGGTAAGGGAATTTATACGAACAGTTTCTTTAATTACAGCTTCAATATATTTAAATTTATCAAGATCTTCCATATTAATATTACGAGGATCTTTTCCAAGAATATTCACAACTTCTTCTCTTATCTTAATTATTACTTCAGGATTTTTTATAATATTATAAATTAAAAATATAAATGTACTAGAAATTGCATCTACACCTCCACCAATAGATTCTGATAAATTAATTAATAATTCTTTATCATTTAAAGGACGTTGAAGATCAGGATTAAAATCTTGTACTTTACTCTTTGAAATATTAATATCATGATCAGTATTAGCAGTTAAAAGTAAAGTGATCAAATCTTGCCTTAATTGATCTTTTGGAGTATTTTCAATAATTTTTTTATGATTATTAATAATATTATAAATATAATTCCAATAATTATTTCTATTAATAATATGATTTTTTGCTATACCTTTAAATATAGGAATATATTTTGCATATGCACCAAAAAATAAATGAAAAGTATAACCATCAACATATTTCAATAAAAGTTCAGCATATCCAACACTCTTATCATCATCCTTATCCTTATTATTATCATCATCCAAATTATTATCATTAATTAATTCAGAATAATACTTATTTATAGAATGACTTCTTTTTCCTATAAATAAATCTAATAAAAGATCAGTCATAAAAGAGAACATCCATTTTCTTAAATCAAAATTAATATTATTTTCACTAATATTATTCCAATAATTTGTTATTTCTTTTATAAAAATTTGAGTTTGTGATAAAGAAAGATGACTAAAACTTGGAGTTAACATAGCTTGATTAAAAAATTGTCGATTAAATTGCCAAGATTTAAAATTATGATTAAATACTATTCCATATCCTGATACTGCAAATTCATCTAATCCAGGATTATATAAATTTCTTAATTTAAAATTTGTTTTTGATGAAGGATTAAATAATTTATCAAAATCATTTAATTTTCCCAAACAAATTTGTCTTTCTCCTGATACATAAATTTCAAATAAATCACCATATTTTTCATAACATTTTTTCAAAAATCTTGAATAATCATTAATATGAAATAAATAATGATTTCCTATTAATGGTAAAGGGAATGGTCCAGGTAAAGGATTTAATCGATTATAATAATTATAATAATAATGAATGATATAAATTATTATAATTGTAAAAATTATTTCGATTATACCGGTTATACCGGTTATACCGAGATTGAACGAGGATAAAATACCCATTATAAAGAATTGTGTAATGAAAAATTGGAAAATGTATCTTTTATTTTTTTTTTTTCCAAGTGGTTTTACCTTGAAGATTAAGTATAGCTGATAGTTAAATATAAAAAAAAAAGATATACAAAGGATATTCGAAATTTGAGATGAAACAAGATATACAAAGGATATTCGAAATTTGAGATGAAACAAGATATACAAAGGATATTCGAAATTTGAGATGAAACAGGTAAAATTTGTAATGAATTAAATAATCCGATTACAAAGCGAGCTGATAAGATTACATAATTAAGTTTTGAGCTACGACTGTTGATCTCAACGTGAAATCATATTTTCGTTATCACGTGAATTAAGCTCGCCGCGCTTTGATCTATTTTCAATCCGGTTAGTTATTATGGCCAGACCTCGAATATACCGATATTCGATATACCGATATATATTAAAAACTCGATAAAGTCGATATAACAGATAACGATGAAATTATGAAATTTTACTTTCCCAATTCCCACTATATAAGAGAACATAAAAATATCAGTATAATTTTGATATACCGATAATTTTCAAAAACTGTGAATCCAAACGTACATATCGTTATATCGCGGCGAGTTATGTGTATAAATCTGCGGTGATAAGTAATTGTTATCAGTTATCGGTCATGTTGTAGATGATAACTGATTGCTATGTCTATCATATGGCCGAAGGTCACATGATAGAGCAGCATCCTAGTGGTAAATCAGTTATCATAAACATGATAATAAAGTTATTGGATATGTATGACGTAAGCAACTGAGACCTTTTTTTCGTGTATCTTATTTATTATTTTATAATAAAGTGATCAAAATTTTGTATATTACTAATTATAAAGTGACCAAAATTTGTGTATTACTATTATAAAGTGATCAATAACATACGTGAAAAATGTCCAGTGCTTACATAGAACATACAATAACGATTTTTTACCGATTATGTTGTACATATCTCAAAATAAATTATGTGAATTTGATAAATTCGGTGCAATTTTGTGGTGATCATGAAAAAAAAAAATCACAAATTTTTTTGTGTTTAATTGTTGAATTTCTGTGAAATGCCGAATATCATTGTAATTGATTCCGAACTCTCAATAATGTAAAATTAATATACAAATTCATTAACAAAAGATAACAATAACATAATTAAACATGACATTGCAGTTATATTACACCATTATATTTGTTATAACATAATCATAATAGGGAAATATCAGTCTTTGACCGATATCTCCCCGCTTAATATTTATTAGTCAGGTGGTTATTTGATCAACGTCAAACATTGGTTCACGAGAATTGACATTTTCCCATATATCTTTGATTAATAAGCAGCAGAGAATGATGAAACTTTCGGTGAAGACCGAATTTACCTTTTATATGTCAAAATATGCGTTAACTTGTCAAAAAAAATAAATTTTAGGCGGCCTATATATAAATTCTGTAAGGCTCCTTACATCACGTCGATGGTGGTGACGTATTTTACATGTGACACAACAGTGACAACACCCATCTTTAATATCCAATCAAAAAATTTTTTCTTTTCTACAATTTTTTACAAGTTTTTTCATTAAACCTATAACAAAAATGCAAGATGATGATGTTAAGGGTCCTGATCAGAAAAGTCATTCATTCATGCAAACAATATAATGTTACTTATTGATTATCTGCAAGAAAAAGAATTTTTTTATAGACCCCTAAATTAAATTTCTTTTTTTAATCGTGTAACATTTTAAAGGGATACACCGAAGTTTAATTAATTAATCATAAGAGGAAGGAACGACTTTGAATCAAAGATATTGAAATTTGCATTCTTTATACAGTATATAATAATATGTTATTATAATATTTTGATATATGTATAGTACATACAAGTATATAGTATATATATACAATATTTGTTGTACTGTACGTATGTATGTACTGTATATGCACAGTACAGTAATATACTGTATACTGTATTAAGATAGAGATGAATGATTTCATTATTTATTATTTGTTTAAGGAGATTTTCGTAACGAGATTTTTTTTTTTTTTTTTTTTTTTTTAAATTAAAAGTGCATAATCTAATTTTATCCTGCAGATTAATTATCTTTTAAAAAAATTGAGTGCAACATTTACGATATTTGATATTTGATATATACTTGGTTAGTAATCTTATTCAATTTTAGAAAAGAACCATAATCTTTCGTAGTCCTGTATTCATTTTCCGTGTAACGTATGCTATTAATATATTATTTAAATTCAAAACAGAAAGAGAAAAACAAGTTTAGAAATAAAAATGTACAAATTGGGAGTCTCTTAATATTTGATTAGACTTATTAGTGATTAAAAGGAGATCAATTAATTATATTACACTTTATACTAAACTGAAACCATCCTGAAACATAAATTGAAAAATTTAATTAAAGAATGAAACTTATTTTAAGAAACCTATAAGATATAGAATGAAGGATTGTTTGCACGAATTGTGCTTGCAAAATTGAACTAATGAAACTAATGAAAATTTTCAAAGATTTAAAAACAATACAGTATTAAAAATGTATAAAAATTTTTTTTATTAATAGATTGTTTAGCAAAGGAATCGATCAAAATAATATTTGCGTATGACAACGAAAATCATCACAATCGTCATTTGGATAGACAATCCCAAAAACCTTGTTTTTTTTAAAAAAAAAACATTCGTTTTAAAAAGAATTACAAAAGTTCAAAACTTCAAACATGTTCAATGTCGTTCTCTTACGTTTAGTAAAAACTTCTTATTATAATATTCACGTCTTTGTCTTCTTTATCGTAGTAAAATTGTCAATTCCCCTATAAATATAAAGGTAATTTTATGAACTCATTTTTCATCATTATTCACTTTTATTCTTTGACGTAAAACGAATTGAATCTACTCGTCATGTGCGATGGACGTGTTTCGTGGCGAACATTCATTTGATATCTTTTAAGAACAAGAACATTTGTTATCTTAAAAAACAATTCGCTCTTTTTCAATTTTTTAATCAAAAATTATAATAATACATAACAAATTGTATATATTGTGTATCATAATTATTATATTATAATGTTTTACATTCTTTTGATTATTTTTTATATATTATCCCTTTTTTATAATTTCACCTTTTTAATTTTTTTCATTTGCATAATATATAATAAACCATAAATCACTACTTAAAAATACAAAAAAAAAAATAAGAAGGAAATAATAATAAAAATTTTATAATTTTATAAGCATAATATTTTAGATAATCTCTTCTTATGTTTTATCAAACTTTTGATACTTTCTCTCTTCTTTTTATCATCACTTTTATCTTCACTTATCGTTTCATCAATCACATTAAAATTACAACCTTCATCCACACTATTATAATAATCATTATCATATATCGTTTCACCTTCGTTGATATTATTTAAATCGGTATCATTTGGGCAATGATTATACGGAATATGTGGTCTAAGGCAAACATAATCCACAGACTTTATAACAAGATAAAGGGAATAAAATTAATAATCTCCTTTTTTTTTAATAATATAAATAACAAAAGAATATTAATGAATTTACTCACGAATGGACCTTTAACGGAAGATGATTTATTGACTTTTTCGGTGTTACAATAAATTCCAGTATGAACTTGATATCTCCTGTCATCAGAATGTTCAATTTTTGCAATTTCAATTTGATAAGGAAGCCGAAAATGAAACCATCCTTTATCATAAGCTTTTGCAAGTTCCTCAGGATCAGGTGAATATTTGAACTTTGCTTCACGTTCGTATGAACTAAGATAAATATCATGCCTTAACCATATGTCGGTGGAAAAGGTAATTACTGGTTTTTCAGGAAATTTATCAACACGCATTCGCCAAATCACATCATATGTTCCCGGCGGAACGTTACTTATCGTCATTTCAATCTTTTTATTTTTTTAAAAAAAAGAGAGAGAAAAGGAATTAAAATTTTTTTTTCTTTTTTCTAGTTGTAATTTGGAATACAATCAAGAACTTACATCAAAACAACGTTGTTTTTGCCTTAATTTGTTATTACTATTGTATTTAATAAAAAGGATTTAAAAATTAAAATTAATAAAATTTATGATAAAATTTATAAATACTTAATTTTTTACATATTTTAAAAATTACGGTACGTTACCATGGCTCAGTATCCTTTTTAATATCAAAATCCCTGTAGCGATAGAAAGTACCAGGTCTACCTCTTGAAAAGGCTGTTTTAGTTTTAATCTTAACAGTTGATAGAGACATATACACTTTCTGCCAATTAGTGACAGAAGGAATTTGTTTATTTTTACATTTCCATTTGCCCTTACGAGGATTACTCGATGATAATAATCGATTGTTGTAATCTTTTAAAGTAGTTTCACCATATTTCTTAATTAATATTTGCTTCCATAGATAATTATCCTGTGTATGAGCTCTTAGTTTTCTATTTACCATGGATAATGCAATTATATCCGTAACTTCTAAATCATTCATAATCATCATCATAAGCTCATGAGGAACCTTACTAAATCCATCATTCCCCGCCATAACACAATCGTTTCCTTCCTCCTGTATATCATCATTCTGTACGGCCTGTTGTTGTTGTTGCTGCTGTTGTTGTTGTTGTTGTTGTTGTTGCTGTTCAGTAATTTCTTCTTGTTGTTGATAATAAACCTTTTTTTCTTTTTCTTCTTCTTGTTGTTGTTGGTGTTGTTGACTAGAAGATATTAAAGAATAATCCGGATATTTTATACCTCGATGATGGACCTTGGTTTCATATTTCGTAGGCCATGTGAAAATATGGAGACGCTTCCTTGTTGAAGGGAATGTTGGATAAAATATTATTGACAATCCGTCCTGTTGTTGCATTATTATAATTATAACATTATTATATAAAAGAGAAAAAAAAAAAAGAATTTCTTTTATTTATTAATAATATTAAGCAAATTATTATTTTTTTTTTTTGATTTTTTTATGTAAGGATAGAAAAAAAATAAAAAGGGAAGAAAAGAAGGGAAGGATAATTTTTGTTTGTATATTAATAATTTATTAATCAGCCTTTTTTAAACAGACCAGCAGAAAATAGCCCATTTTTATAGTTGATTACAATTTGGTTTTTGTATAACAATAAACCAACATGACGGAAAATCTAGTTTATATTTTTTTCATTATATAATAATTCCCAAATAATATTAGATCAAAAGAGAAAATTTTTTAATTGGTTAAAAAAAAAATTCTATTTCGATCAAACGTCAAATTAATTTGTTGAGCAAAAATAATTTTTTGTAAGGGGATTACAGAAATAATTATTTCGTTTATTTTTTTATGTCGCACAAGTTAAAAATTATTGATCCAATCAAACATACGGTTAAACTAGACCGAAGAAGTAAAACAAGTTTTTTTTATTTCACAATTGTTTCAAAATAAATTTGGATAAAAATTATATTAAATATATTATATACGGTTATTATGGTAATTAAATTTATTTATTTATTCTTTTTTTTTTTTTTTTATCACCCACAACAATTAAAGCACCATTTTTAGAACAATTCACAGATGATTGGACTAAACGGTGGTCACCAAGTGAAGCCACTAAGGAAACAAAGGATGGAGGCGAAACTTTTAGTTATGTTGGAAAGTGGAAAGTTGAAGAACCAACTGTTTTCCCGGGAATTTTAGGGGACAAGGGATTGATTGTAGATTCAAAAGCGGCTCATCATGCAATATCCGCTTCTCTTAATAATTCTTTGGATAACACCAACAATACCCTAGTAGTCCAGTAAGTCATCGTTTTATAAACGATCTATGATCTTTCCTTTTGGAGTCTTTTATTAATAATTTTGTCATTAGATATGAAGTTAAACTTCAAAATGGACTTGAATGTGGCGGTGCATATATGAAATTATTAACAGAATCTGAGAAAGGAATCCATGCTGAAGAATTTTCTGATAAAACACCATATACAATTATGTTTGGACCTGATAAATGCGGTGCCACCAATAAGGTACACTTTATCTTCAGACACAAAAATCCAAAGACTGGCGAATATGAAGAGAAGCATATGAANAAAAAAAAAAAAGATTCTCAAAAAAATTCTCCAAATCAAAAAATCAAAAAATAAAATGTTCAATGTTTACTAATTGTTTGTGGTTTATTTTTGTAGTATAAAATATTTTAATTTTTTTTTTTAATGAATGAAACCTAAATTTACTTACTTCATTCAAATTTCTAATAATAATGATTTCCAATTGAACTTTATTTTTAAGTTAAACATTTTATTTTTATTTATTTATTTATTTTTTATTTTTATTTTTTATTTTTTTTTATTTTTAAAAAAAAACACGTCTTAAATAATAAATTATTCACGTTAATTATATCTTAGCCGAATTACAAAAAAAAATAATTTATAATTAAATCAATAAATTTAAGTTTCTTTTTCCTTTCAAAAAAGAAATTGGGTCGTATTTTTTTTAATTGGTTAATTTATTTATCCAGGATAAAAATTTGATTTGAACGTTATTTACGTTATTTACGTTAATGAAAATCAATATTCTATAATCAATAATTAATTAATAAATTTCAATGAGAATATTTTTGACAAAAAAAAAAAATCTTATCTTTAAAAGAATTAAATCCGTTATTCATTATTATAATTAATTTTTTTTCATTCGGGAAACATCCCTTATCAATTTATAATAATGTAAATTATTTCTATTTATTGTGTAGTATAAATATTATATATATATATATATGCATTGATATGCAATTTTGATTATTTCACAAACAAGGGGTGGATTTTAATCATTTGTAATGATGGCGCAGTAAACTCCTCGCTTATTTTTTTCTTTCTTTTTTTTTCTCTTTGAATCAATCCTATTATGGTTAGTTGAGTTTTTTTTGGCGGGATTGTTTCATTATTCAATTGCTTTTCTCGTTAAATTGAATTTATGGAGTTTCCGTAGATATCCAGATATCCAAAATATTTAAATTATGCATACATTTTTGTTCGGACAATGGACATTATGGAGGCGTTGATCATCATGTATAAAATTTATTAGGTTTTAACTCTTTGAGAACAAATTACAATTTATTTATGAATGAATATATATTTTTATATTATTTTATATTACTGTAAATTAAAAATTTTTTTTTTTAAAATTTGGAATTACAAATTTATCTTTTCCGTTATCCGTTATCAGCATTAAGTACAAAAGCAAATAATTTGCAAATAATTTGGAATTGTTTAAAATTTAGTTTTACGTTACTAAAAAAAGCAGAACAAATAATATTTTTATCATTATTTGTAACTAAAAATAAAATTATTTATTTCATTATTATTGTTCCATACCTGAGAAGATTTTCTAATGATTTTTTTTATACCATCCTTAACCTTCCTTTTCCATTTCTTTAAAACACTATTATTAGATGAACCTATATATGTATATATTAAAAAAAAAAAGGAAATTATAATTAATTATAAATTGTAACACTCAAACTACTGTAACTCGGTAAAATGTTTGTATAATTACTTTGTTTATCAGTATCCGCAACAGACGAACTTTCAGTATTATCGGTCAAATTTGTATTATCAGAAGCTGTCAATCGTGGTGATGGTATTGGGTTTTCAATTTTTTCTTGCCTTTCTTTATCTTCAACATAAGGTTGTGAAACAATAGACTTTTTGGTCGATGGTGTTATTTTAACGCAAATTTCATTAACTTCTCCTGAAAGTTTATTGATTTTCGTGATTTCTGCATCCGGTTCATCAATGATCGACTTTTTAATTTCTTTATGTTTTTCTTCTCGTTTTCTACTATCAATATTATTTTCAATTAAATGAGGTTGTGAAACATTTGCGGTTGAAATATTCAATGTTGAAATATCTGGTAACGAAGTATTAAGTTGTGGAACATTTGAGATTGAAGTATCCTGTGTTGAAATATCTGGTAACGAAGTATCAAGTTGTGGAACATTTGAGATTGAAGTATCCTGTGGTGAAATATCTAATGACGAATCTGATAGTAAAGTATTTGGTGATGGAGTAACTGATAATGAAATATTAGGTGTGCTTAAAGTATCTTGTGGTGGAGTGTCTGGTGATGCTGTATCACGTTGTGAAGTGTTTGTAGGTGGTGAAGAATCTGATAATGAAGCGTCAGTTTGTAAAACATTTGCGGTTAAAGGTGAAGAATTTGCGATTGAAGTATCAGGTGATAAAGAAGTATCCGTTGGTAAAGAGTTTGCAATTGAAGAATCTGGTAATGAAGTATTGTGTTGTAATTCATTTGTGATTGAAGCATCCAACGATGAAGAATTTGCGATTGAAGTATCAGGTGATAAAGACTGTCTCTTATACACATCTAGATGTGTATAAGAGACAGAGTTTGTAAAACATTTGCGGTTAAAGGTGAAGAATTTGCGATTGAAGTATCAGGTGATAAAGAAGTATCCGTTGGTAAAGAGTTTGCAATTGAAGAATCTGGTAATGAAGTATTGTGTTGTAATTCATTTGTGATTGAAGCATCCAACGATGAAGAATTTGCGATTGAAGTATCAGGTGATAAAGAAGTATCCGTCGGTAAAGAATTTGCAATTGAAGAATTTGGTGATGAAGTATCATGTTGTAATTCATTTGTGATTGAAACATTCAACGGTGAAGAATTTGCGATTGAAGTATCAGGTGATAAAGAAGTATCCGTTGGTAAAGAATTTACAATTGAAGAATTTGGAGATGAAGTATCATGTAATTCATTTGTGATTGAAGCATTCAATGGTGAAGAATTTGCGATTGAAGTATCAGGTGATGAAGAAGTATCCGTTGGTAAAGAGTTTACAATTGAAGAATTTGGTGATGAAGTATCATGTAATTCATTTGTGATTGAAGCATTCAACGGTGAAGAATTTGCGATTGAAGTATCAGGTGATGAAGAAGTATCCGTTGGTAAAGTGTTTGCAATTGATGAATTTGGCAATGAAGTATCGTGTTGTAATTTATTTGTGATTGATGCATTCAACGGTGAAGAATTTGCGATTGAAGTATCCGATGATAGAGAAGTATCCGGTGATGGTGTAAATTTATTATCTTGGTTGATTTCCTTGTTATTTACGTCTACTTGGGGCTTAAGGGTGGTAACAACGTTTTCATTTAATTTATTCACATTTGCAACAGTATTAATAGAAGTTACGGCAGTAGACGCAACAGTATTAGTAGAAGTTACGTTAATCTTGGTAACGCAACTAGTAGCGGATTCCTTAGAATCTATAAAATATACAGGTTAGTAATACAAGAATTTACGCGGAAATAGTAAACACGTCAAAATGATGAGAAAATAATGGTAATTTTATTATACCTGATTTTTGTCCCATAAAAACATTACCAACAAGAGATAAATTATTTGATTTTGGCATAGTAGAAGTTACTTTTATTTCTTGTTGAGAAGTTTTTTCTTCGTTAAGATTATTCATTGTTTAAAAAAAAATCAAAGTCAAGAGAAAAAAAAAAAATTTCGGTATATTGTATTGAATAATATTGTATATATATATTGATTTAGACTTTTTTTTTGACTCATATTGATTTATCAAAAACTTGATCATAAAAGATAGTATAATCATTAATCAGTATAATGACATAATACTAATATAATCTACGTAATTTCTTTTAATATAGTTAATAACGAGCTTAGTGGATTTTTTGGATTATCATTATCCCCGATTACCAGGTTTACGGTAATATCGCGAGATTTTGGGTAATTTTATTTTAACACGCTCTTTTTCGCTTTAAAATGTAATAATGTATATCATTATTAATGCATATACGTGTATCATTATTTTCTAGAAACATAAAGAAAACCCAAAGAATCCGATAAAATAAATTCGAATCATGATTAAAGATTTCATGGTACTTTGTACATAATAATTTGTGCATATAATATGTGCATAATGCATAATAATGTTTGAACAAACACAGTATATCTAATCAACAATAATCAGAAGAAAATGAAATGGTTATTAAGTTTTGCCATATAACAGGTAGCAAGTTCTTTGATATCTACAAGATTCCACAAGATTCCACAAGAATTTACGCTAGAAATCTTAATTTTATTAGGAAAAAAAATAATTTTGTTTATTATACCCGAATAACCCCGATCTCCAACATCGATCAAAGATAACAACTCCACGTGAACACGTTGTAATATCGTCGATTTACCCCTCAAACGAATTTATCGTGCTACCACTTGACATTTTTGGAAATAATATAATGGGTAAATTTATTCCTTCAATCCTGGATATCTTTAAAATTAAGGTAAAACCAATTTATTTCTTTTAATTTGAAATTTGAAAAATATTTTTCTTCTCTTGATATTTGAATTATAAATGTCTTTACGAATTTCTTTCAATCTATTTTTTAGATCTCGTTTAAAATTTGACCAATTATATCAAGTAAGTATCTTTTTTTTTTGAATTAAACAAAAAAAAAATTCATTTTTTACTAACGCTTATACGTGTAATGTATATATGCATCATTATCAATTATTTTCATTTCTTTTTTTTACGTAGAATTCGATAATTAGAAACACAATTATTTCTTCTTTAATAATAAATTCAAATTTGAACCATTATAAAAGATTTCACGCTACTTCATACGTAATAATGTCACAGTCTGAAACATTTCAAAAAGAAAAAAATGAGGAAGTGAATAAAGATAAAAAGATTGGTGATGGTGATAAATATACTTTTCCTATTACACCAATAGAAGATTTTAAAGATAAACCTTATCCTAAAACTGCCGCTTGTCTTATTATCGGTGATGAAATTCTTAATGGAAAGACTGTAGATACGAATTCTTCTACTTTTGGTAATCTTCAAATTTATAAAATTTTAAACATTCCTTTTTGATGTATACCAGATACACTTTTTTTTTAAAAAAAAAATTTATAATTAATTTAATTTTTGTTTATTTAAATTAGCCAAATATTGTTTTGAACATGGTATCGATTTAAAAAGAATTGAAGTTATTCCGGATGAGGAAGACGTATAATGGATTTTTTTTTTTTTACGTATTTATAGTTTTTTTTTTTTAATTTTTTTTTAAAAAAATAATATTTGTGTTTTTTTTTCCAAAGACGATTATCCAATCTGTGAAATATCTTAGTAATAACTTTGATTTCGTTATTACGAGTGGAGGAATAGGTAATTGAAGTGTTTTTTGATGATGATGAAAATTAGTGTTCTGCCGTAATAGACAAGAGTTTGACTCGAAATCATTTAATTATAATAACATCAATATAAAACTCAAAAAAAAATCACTTTTTTTTAGGACCAACTCATGACGATATAACGTATCCTTCAATCGCAAAGGCGTTTAATCTTCCATTAAAGCAGCATCAACTAACATATGATCGTATGAATGATTTTGCAAAAAATATTCCAGCGATATCAAAATATATGAAACCAGATCCAGGTCATGAAGCTATTGAAGCAAGTAAACGAATGTCATTATTTCCTGATCCATCAACTGTTATATATCCGGATGAAAAATTATGGGTTCCAATAGTAATAGTTAATAAAAATGTTCATATATTACCAGGAATCCCTCGTTTATTTAAAAGTTTATTATTCAATTTTAGTAAATATTTAAGAATTAGACAAAATGGTGATAAAGGTGAAAATTTTTATAGAAAATTTGTAAAAACTTTTCAACCTGAAAGTTATATTGCTCCCATTTTAACTGAAGTACAAGGGAAAGTTAAGGATATAGGAATTAAAGTTGGTAGTTATCCTAAATACACTACTGATAAGAGATGGGTGATTATTGTTAGTTTTCTTACTAGAGAAAATAATAAAGATAAAGTTGAAGAACTATGTAAAGAAGTTGCTGAAAAAACCGATGGAACTATTATTGATACTGACGATGTGATTACTGGTGATTATGAAAACAAACTTTAATTAAACAACAATACTAAGAACTGAATAAGACGTTATGAATTCTATTTATTAAACGAACATTTATTAAAATATTATTAGTTGTGTAATAATATTCTATCTATATTATAATAAAATAAATAATTATATAATTTAAGACGAACAAAAATTATTGACAAAAAAAAAAGAATTTATTTTATCCCTCAAAAACTTTTTGATCAAGCACCACACCGAATTTCTCTTCAATAGTTTGCTTCATTCTATCGTCCAAAACATCTTCAAATCCCCTTGAATTTCCGTCTCTGCCATTTATCCAAATTTCAATAGATTCTCTTACTTTTGTTAAATAAAATCCAATACTTATAAATAATAAAGTGCCTCTAAACAACCAATAATTAAATCTACTTTGTAATACAAAAGATAGTTGACTAAAAAAACCCATCAAACTGCCCTCTTTACCTAATAATTGTTGTTGTTTTTCATTAAAAGTTTTCGCATTACCACCCCAATTCGTCCAATCGGATCCTAATCCTTTTACTGCCCAATTTCCCATAATATTTATTCGATTTACTGGACTACCTAATTCTCTATTAAGAGATCTTACTATGTTCATATTTCTTCCTACGAAAATTAATTCTCTTGGAATTAATTCTGTATTAGATAAGAATTTTTTTATTCTCTCCTTAAGTGCCATTTGCATTTCGTATGCATCTTTTAAAGAAAATTTTTGATTTGTAGCGATATGAAGTGCTGTTTTTGGATTATACGGTTTCATTAATGTTGCGCTTGCAAACATTTCTGGATCATTAATACCCCACTCCTGACATATTTCATTTATCGTTTCAGTGTCCATCAAAAATAACTGTATATATACATTTTTTTTTTTTAAAAAAAAAAAAGAGTAATATGTGAATGAGGTAATTAATGTTGTAAAATCAATACACATATATATTTTAAGGAACTTACGGATTTCCAGAATAAACTGTATTGATGACGGAAGACGACGGATTCTTCCACATACAATCCATGATCGATCAAAACAATTTGATAATATTTTTTTGACTTATTTGGATGAGGTCTAACGAATACATTCCCTGGATGCGGATCAGCTATAAAAATATTCCACGTAAATTATAATTATACGAAATATGTTATAAAGCAACTGATAAAATAACAAAACATACCATGTACAAATCCTAAATAAAATGATAATAATGAATATCAATAAACTCACATTAATATAATAGCCGATGTTTATTTAACTTACCAGTGACGAAAATTTGCGACGCAAAGATATCAATCGTCGTTTTCATAACATCATGTAATTTATATCCGTATCTAAATATTTTAAAAAAAGATTAATAATAATTTTATATTTGAGTATACTCCTATATGTAAGTACTTGCCTTGCTAATCCTTCTTTATCAGTGACCCTAACTCCATCGATCCACTCACACGTTAAAACTCTACTGCTTGTATAATCCCAGAATACCTTTGGAATATAAACCTTATCTTTTAAAGATCTAATCTGTTCTAAATCCCTTTTTGTCCTCTCAGAATTTTTACCTTCATTTATAAAGTCCACTTTTTAAATAATAATAAGCATAATAGAAAAAAAAAATTATTCTTAAAAAAATCTAATGATACTCAATTATAATAATTATTTATTATATATATATACCTTCTTCTCGTAGATGTTTATCTTGCGTTTCGGCTGTCCAAGTAAGAGGAAGATCAAAAAGATATTCATACGCATACATCAATGCTTTGTAGGCCATCAAATCCCAATTCTAATAATAAATAATAATCGTAAGTAATAAAATTCGGATGATCAAAGATAAACTACCTAATAAAAGATTAATTTTTACCATTTGTTTCTTAATATTTGGTTTTTGAACTTTAACAGCCACAGGAGTTCCATCTTTGAGTTTTGCACGATGAACTTGAGCAACACTAGCAGACGCTACGGAAACGCGTTCAAAATCATCAAACATATCATCTGGATGACATTTAAAATCTGCTTGAAATATCTTTGCCACCTGATCAAAATCAACAGCTGGTCTTTTTCAATATTATTTAAAATAGATTAAATATTATACTTTTAATTTCTTTAAAAAAATTTTTTCAGATCAAAGTACTTACGCCTCATCATACATCGTTTTAAACGTCCTTTGATATGCTAAATTGATTTATAAATTAAATTAGAAAAGATCTAAGAAAAGATTTATAAACATATGGAAAATCGTCATGACGTATTCACCTGCAGGTAAGATAGCAGACTGTACTTGTATAGCTTGTCCTAACTTGATATACAATCCACTATTTAATGAGATCAAAGAAAATAAATAATATAAAATAATTAAACATATGCTCTGAAAAGAATAAATAAAATAAATAAATAAATAAGAACATATATAATTGAAAAATAAAACAATATATAAAAATCAATACTTTACCCATTAAACTTACAAACTCTCAATATTCTTTGTGCTACTCTTTCATGTAAATCATCAATTTTGTCTCCTTTTTCAGGTCTAAAATTGATCTTGTAATCTAATCCTATACATATTCTACAATAGGAAAAAAAAAAAAAAATATTTCATAAAATAATTATTAAGATAGACTAAATCAAAAAAGAAATGGATCTTACCCATTCCAAATTGTCAAACTGTTTCTTTGTAAAGTTCGCGCATTATATTTATCATCAATTAAATAAATTCCTCCTATCGTGCTTGATAATAAAGCCAAGCTGCGAATAGGAATTTTTCTTATAAAAGACATTATTCTTATTTAAACGAAAAAAACTACTACGTAGAAAACCTTTTATAAAAACGATAAAATTTTTGATTAGCTATTTTTGGTTAACAGTTAAGATGTTACGTCAATTGATGTTCAAATTAGTGTAACCATGGAACCCGGTAAATATGTCACGTATTCGGCCGGCATTATGGGTCCTTCACCAGCATTATAGAGCTTAAAATTTTAATCATGTGATATATCGTACTAGCCTTACTATAAATTAAAATAAATGAATTATTTGGGAATCACCGATTAATTAATTATTGTTCGATAATAAATAACAATGGTAACTGTGAATTTGATTTTCCATGGAAATCGATAGTAAATCGATGATATTCTGATATTCTCACTTTATATCGCAGCTCAACCAACAATTTTTTGACGGCACGCAGACTGATCTGTGTTATATATTGTATACAAATTTTAATAAGTTTGCAAAAAATTTTCTTCCCTGTTTATACAAATAAATGTACAACATGTCTAATATTGTGATTTCCAACACATTTTTTTGTTATGTTGTTTGTTTGATGAGGAAGTATTTCCGAACTCAGAGAAGGAGAAACAAAATGAAAGACTAATGTTAAGGATAACTATTAATGATTTCCTCCACCCATTGTTGTCCCTCCAAAAAATAATCGTACCTAAGTCAAAGTATAATAATTAACATTACAAGTTGCGAAATTAGTAAAAATTGGTTTAAAATGCTTACCTGTTGATGGTTTTTTTTTTCTATACTTGATGTTGAAAAATGCCGTAATACCCTTTCTTTTTGTTTTAAATATCACATAAATTGAGGCACATGCTGAGCAAATACATGGCTAGAAACTGAAAAAACTCTTCCACCTCTAAATCACCTATTATCCATCATTCTATATTCCGACGCGACAACTTTTGATGGACTGGAAAACTTCAGGCCATCCAGTATTTTTAACACTCGGAAACTTTCCGAATTGGCTTCGAAACTTACCAGAAGCCAAATAATTATATTGACAAGATTCAAAACATTTTACTTAAAATTAATGACCTGAAAGTCAAGAATATTCTGAAAACTGGATCCATCAGTTATGTACCTGTTCCTTATTGCACCCAAATAACACATTCACATTATTCTGTGTAAATGAGTTGTAATAAATTTGTTAATAATAATGGATAATTAGATTGAGAATTATTTTTCTTATAAAAGCATCTTCAAAGGCAAATACTGGATTGGTGCATATCTTTGTTGGTCAGCTCAATTTACTATTTTGATTTTGGACTTTTCTTCTTACTGTTCTTATGAACTTATGATCATTCTGTTGGTAAAAGGTTGATAGTGAATGCATTTTAATACTGATTATGGCAAATCATTATTATTTTCTTTACTCTTATATGTATATTTTATTTGTATTCAAAATTTGAAATTACATCTATTAGGATTATATAACAAAATATTTGCAAAATTCAAATTTTTTAATTTAATTTCTAAAATTGGTTAAAACTTTTCAATTTTAACAGCGGATTAAATTAGTAGATTTTTGTATATAAATAAGGATCTAAAGAATTCGCTCAGAATCGAACTAGTATTGAAATGGGAATAATTTATTAAAGTTTCCCTTTATAATTAATTATATATGATTTATATATAACACAAATACTTTTATATAATATGATAAAGGTGTATAAAAATTTGTGCAATCCACTTTGTACAGTATTTTCTCCGTGCTTTTAATTCATGATCAATAAATTAGTAATTTTCTGAATATACCCATGAAAGTTCAATTATCATTACTTGATGGTAAGTTTTCGCTCAATAAAAAAAATGGTCCAATTTAATAGTGGTATTTTTCTTTTTAGGTAAAACATGTATTTTTGTTTATTTATGAATTGGTAAATTATCGTCTTTTATCGTCTTTTTCAAAGTAATTATATATGAATAAAAAAAAGAAAACCGATAACCGGACGATAATCGGACGATAACCGGACAAAATATGGACGAATATTGATATTCGAATATACAATCACAAATAAGTTGATCATCCCAATTTTTTTTTTATTTATTTTAATAACAATTTTATTAATTAATACGGTTTGATCGATAATATCAATAGTTTATCTGCGTACAATATTGAAAATTTATTATATAAATAATAAAACTAATATTCGTAATAATTCTAAGGTAGTAATAAGAATATAAAAGAAAATTTGGGCGTACGTCACTCCGTGGTGTAATACAACACGTACAATTATTAATGACATTATGTTCATATCTTAAATTCCATGTTTTCTACATTTAATATAGATTCACATCTAAAGGCTTTAATTACTCCATTATTTTTATATTTATTAATCAAATTTTTATAATCTCCTCCTTCATAAATAGAATCAGATGAAAGTATAGAAAGTGAAGGTCGACCTCTCCATTTTTCTAAGAATTCCTCCAAAGCTTCCAAAGAAAATTTAAAATTGTTAAAAAATCTAAGTTCTCTTAAATTAATTGGTGCTGACCTAATTAATATTTTTAATAATTCTTCACCATTTTTTAAAGTACTTTCTTCCGTTTCTCGTATATAAATATTTGATGTAACTAATAATAATGATTTCAAATGTTGACATACTTTTAATAATAATTCAAATTCAGTAAAATGATCTTTTGATGGTGAAAATGTAAGTGAAAGATATTCGATTAAAGGACAATTTTCATAAATTTTATGAATAAAAATGAGAGATTCTTCACTAAAATTACCTCCATAATATACAAAATTATAAGGTTTTAATGAAACTTCTTTAAGATGTCCTCCACTATTTTCAATTATTATTGAAGCTTCATCTATTGTAATATAATCTATTTTAAGGATTTCAAGATCATTATAAACTAAACTTTTCAATATGTTTTTATTATCATAAATTAATTCATTAATTATTAAGGTTTTTAGTTTATAAAGTTTTGGAAGTAACCTTTGCATTAATGTATAATCAAAAATGTCAAAATGTAGGAAATATAATTCTAAATGATTAAGAATATCTGCTTTTTTTTCTAATTCAAGAAAGATTTCTTTATAAGGATTTTCTGTAACATAACCATCATCAAAATCATCAATCCATTCAAAATACTTTAAATTTTTCTGAACTTCAATTAATTTAGAAATTCCAGAGTTGGGCTTTGGTTTTACATTAAGAATGATGAGTCTTTGTATATATTGACAAATACGTGCTAATCCATAAAAGTATGAAGAATCAATAGATGTATCACATTTTAACTCACATAGTGATTCAAGGCGAGTATTAGCTTCCGGGAAGTAAAATATTTGGTGTTTAATTGATCTTATATCTAAAAATTTTAATTCTGGACATTTTTTCATAAATAATTTGTAAAATTCTTGTTGTAAAAGAAATTGATTGTAAGCTAAAGATGATCCAATAGATACTACAGTATTCATAATGTTTATATTAATGCTTCTACAGAATGATAAATAATCAAACAAAAGTGGTCGGGATGAAACTGATGGTAATTGAATTCCTTTCCTTATCAAAAATTCTTTAATATCATCAGATAAATTTGAAGCAATAATTTCAAATAAATAATTTTTATTACAATAATCAATATCATAACACCAAGGATTTCTCCATAAATTTGGAATAACAGTTTCACACCAAAGTTTATTTACCATTAAACATGAAAAGAGGGATTTTGAATCGTCTTGAAACTCTTCAAATATTAAGAAAAGAATATCTTTATTGAGTTTAGACATTATTTTATAAAAATTAAATAAAAAATAGAAATTCTTTTAAAATCTTTTATAATTGATTTAAATTTTAAGTTTAAATTTTAAGTTTAAATTTCAGTATTACGAAAATTTTATTCTCTCACTCCTTAAAATGCCGGAACCAAATTCCGGCCAAATTGATCAAATTAGGAATATTTCGTGATGATCAAATAATCACAAACGTTACGCCCACATAACTTTGTGATAATTTTTAATGTCGTGCTGATAGACAAATTATAATTCGTACAGAAGACCCCCAAATTTCTCCTTTTTTAATTTCATCTGGAACTCCTAAAGAAATAATAGCTGGTAATTCATGAAAATGGTAATGATGAACATGCAATCGGTATTTTGGAAACGCGATTAGATTTATACTTTTTTTGTCGTTTAGTCAAATATGAATTACAAGTTTTAGAAAGACAATTTTTAACTACTTTAAATGCATTTTCAGAAAAAAATATGATGACAACTATTACAATAAGGCATTTTGAAAAAACGCGTTGACTCAAGGACGTGTCGGTCTGTTGGTCTCAAAGTAAAATTACGTAACGTAAAAAAATATAGTTGCTTTTGTTGCTTTTAATGGAAAAAAGATCAACAATTCTCAGCCAATCACTTTTGCTGCGCCGCGGAGAAATTTGGGGTCGCTGTACGAGTTGCAATAATTACTGCGTAAATCAAAAGCAACGTTCTAACTTTTTAACTTTTGAAGAACTCTTACAATCCTGCGATTAAAGTATATATACTGTACTGGGAACATTTGGTATTAAATAAAACATTTAAATAAATAAATGATTAGTATATTCAAAATTATTATTCCATTTAAAATACTTTAAATTCTTCTGAACTTCAAATTCTAAGATTAGCTTTTGTGTTAGTGTTAACAATGATGAGTCTCTGTATATATCGACAAACGAGTATTAGCTTCTGGAAAATAAAATATTTGGTGTTTGATAGATTTTATATCCGAATACTTCAACTCTAAACTTTTTTCATAAATGATCTGTAAAATTCTTGTTGTAAAAAATTTATTATAAGCTAAAGAAGATTCAATAGAAATTATATTATTTGTAATATTTATATTAATAATCAAATGAAATTGATTTTGATAAACTGACGGTCCTTTCTTCGTTAGGAATTCTTTAGTATCACCAGAAATAGTTGCGAACAAGTAATTTTTATTACTATAATTAATTCCATAGCACTAAGTGATTTTCCCAATAACAGTTTAACACCAAA